TGGGAGTTTGGTCTTTAGGATGCACTAGTCCCTGTTTAAGGGTCTAGTTTGAAATTTACTGAGATTTTGTATTTGGAAAAAATCCTCTTGAGTTTTTTCAGAGAGTCCAACAACATATGGGATGGCAATGTTTTTGCATTTATTCTTCTCACAGTTATGTTCTGCTGCATGTCTGTTGGATTTCCTTGCTGATTTGACATATGCCCAGTTTGGGTATTCACAGATTAGAAGAGCATCTTTGATGTTTCTATTCTTTGAGCTTCCCTGATTTAGTAGGGACATGCTCGATTCTGATGACTGAAACTTCTAATAGGATATAATTGTACATTTAATACTGCTGAGATATAATTCATAATCCAATACAATTTTATAAATATAAAGTGTATGCATATTTATTTGCCACTTTGAATCGAATTCCTCTAAATACAGTCCAGTTTCATTTAAATTAAAAACAACCTCTTGAAGACCAGTGAACTCAAAAGCAAAGTTGGGTTGTACAACATCACCGCCTAGGTTTCAACATTTCACAGAGACATATTTAGACCAAGGTCTGAAAAGGTAAGCAGTAAGGCATAACTGAAAAGTTACCTGGACAGGATTTTCTAAGGGAAGCCTTTATTAGGGAATTACAGGCAGTTTATGTTGTTGAATATAAACTTTTTAAGAGTGCTAAAAGAAAAGAAGGACATGTGAAGGATATGGCACAGATGCAGAACTACAGCCAGGATATAGAATTACTTGTGCATGCTTTGTTCACAGGCCCAGAGTTTTCCAATCTCTGGTGCTGAGGTCAATGAGGTGGTCCACAAGCTCCTCTGCGGCAAGGCCCCAGGGGTGGATGAGATTCGCCCTGAGTACCTTAAGCTGCTGGATGTTTCGGGGCTGTGTTGATTAACACTACTCTGCAACATTGCATGGACATCAGGGGCAGTTCCCCTGGATTGGAAGACTGCGGTGGTGATCCCCTTATCTAAAAAAGGGGACCGGAGGGTGTGTTCCAACTACAGAGGAATCACACTCTTAGATCTCCCTGGTAAGGTCTATTGCGGGATTCTGGAAAGGAGGGTTCATCTGATAATCGAATCTCGGATTCAGGAGGAGCAGTGTGGTTTTCGTCCTGGCCGTGGAACACTGGATCAGCCCATACACCCTTAGCAGTATCATGGAGGGTGTGTGGGAGTTTGTCCAACCAGTCTCCATGTCTTTTGTGGATCTGTAGAGAAGACATTTGATCATGTCCCTCGGGGGGTCCTGTAGGGGGTGCTCAGGGAGTATGGAGTACCGGGCCCATTAATATGGGCTGTTAGGTCTCTGTATGACCAGTGTCAGAGCCTGGTCCACATTGCAGGCAGTAAGTCGGACTTGTTTCCGGTGAGGGTTGGACTCTGCCAAGGTTGCCATTGTCACAGATTCTGTTCATAACCTTTATGGGCAGAATTTCTAGACAAAACCAAGGTGTTGAAGGGATCGCTTTTGGTGGCCTTTGTTAGGATTCCAGTTTGTGTGGGTTGATTTTTGTGTTTTCCCCTCTCCACCACCAGGTGGTGCCCTGTCCTCGTTGGGCCTCCCTGCACACCTGCGGCTAGTTGGTTCTTTACCACAGGAGTACTTGAGCAGCGGGCTCTCACCACCTCGACGCTAGAGTGTTTGCCAGTATTGGGTACTCTAGCTAAACTGAGATTAGCAGAGTCTAACCATAGCATTTTTTCTCTGAGTCTGAACTTGTTTTTTGTCTTTGTTCTTTGGCAGGAAGACTTCCTTTGTTACTGGATAAGCCTGGACCTTCTACCCCTGGAAGGATTTACTGAGTCTCACTGAGCAAGGAGAAAATCTCCACATGATCTGTTCAAGTCCACTCCTGGAAAACCAAGTGACAGTCCGCTCCTTTACTCCTCTGGGTCCAACGTATGTCTGCCCGTCCGCTCTCCAACGAGTTCCCTCTTCTCTGGATTAAACCCCCACAAACTAGATCCAAGGATAAACCAAGAGTCCCCCAAAGGTGAGTGCCTCTCCCACAATATTCAAGCTTCAGTCTATTTTCCGACTGTCCCTGAACTGATCACTGTTATCTCCCCTTCAGAGTTTCCAGTTCCGGTTCACCAGTCCGCTGAGTTCCAGCATTGTTTTTCTCACAAAGTTTCAATCTCCATCAGTGTTTGCTAACCTACAATCAACCTGTTAAACTTTTGCCCTTGGTCTCTGAGTGGTTCTCTGCATGGGGGTCAGATCTTTAAAGCCCATTATGACAGCCTTAGGATCTTGTCTTTGTTATCCGCAGCTGATGCAGTTCCATTGGCTTCATCGTGGTGTGATCTACAGCTCTCACTGGGGCAGTTCGCCTGCTCTAGTGCCTGGTGGTGCAGATTGAATGGCGGCTTTGATTGTGTCAGTGTGCCCCAGGGCAGCTGAGGCAAAAGGAAGCGTACCACCGTTTAGCGTATGAAGGGCTGTGTGGTCCTTGAACTTGATAAAGTTCTATATAAGTACATTTACCAAAATGGGTCAAAGAAATTTGACCTTAAAATGTATGTATTAGAAGCCCAGACCTAAATCCAATTGGGAAGATTTGATTTTAAAGATTTTATCTGACTGAACTTAAACCACGTTGATAAATAAATGGATACAAAAGCTGAATCTCTAGCAAAGCAATATCCCAAAGGACCCACAGCATTGGCTGAAGGGAAAGACCCTTCAGTGGTAACTCTAGGAAACAGGTAAAAATGCATCTCACGAGCCTTAGACCTTGAATAGTGAGTAACTGATAAAGCACTGCCTGTTAGATTTATAATACTGCTGGAAAAGATGTTTGTAAAACACCTTTAACTGAATACATCTTGTATGTAATTTAAACAAGTTAAAGTCTTAACTCTGCTGTGACTTTCTGTTTGTGCTCTAGGTGAGGCTAAGATTTAGCTTTCTGGACATCATCCAAAGTCTTAAATGGTATTTCAACCTTTAACTTTGCCACCTATCAAGGTTTCTTGAGGTAAACTCTGAAGAGCAGGGAAGTACAATGCACTTGCTGTGCATTGCAGTTCAATTTAAATTTGTTAGAAGCTGTTTTTGTATTTTATTTATGTATTTTTTATCTTCAGCTGCTTGTTTTGCTGTCATCACCACGGCATCTTTAAAAGATTAATTCCAGGATGAGTCATGTTTCCTGTGATGGAGCTTTCTGCTGGTTATGATTACATGCTTCCTGCTACATTCTTCTTCCTGCACCACGACACTGACTTCCAGAAATTGACGGCCGGTGCGGTAAGGTAGCAACTCATGCAATTGTTTCTGTTTTTAGAAACCATTAAAAAGAAGTTTCTCATTCCTAATCAGAAGATCACAGCATGATGAAAATGCATAATTTGACATCATTCGTTGTGAACAGTTGGCGAAGCTCAACTCAGCGATCATCATGAGACTCTGCATAAATTAGTAAGACATTTACAATTAGTTTATGAGCAAAGACATTTTTATTTCTCAATATTTGTACAAAGCGTCATTTATACAGAAGAATAATATAAAGGTCTATTAATAGAAAAAAAACATTTTATACAGGAAGCCCTACGGTAACTAAAGGTACTTTGAAAATCTGTGCAATGCAATTATTAGTCCATAAAGAACATAAAGTGATGGTGGTGGGGGGGTTGGGTCAGCTAAATAAATCTGAATATCAGTCAAAATTTATTTAGGTAATTTTGTTCTAAAAGGAAAAATCTTAAACAGCTTTATCATTACACACAGAGTGATTTATTTCCTCAAATTATTTTTATAATCATTTATTCAAACCTGAAACTATTCATATATAGAAGCTTGCTGTTCTAAATGAAAATATTAATGGAAAGTTAGGTGAAAGAAAAAAAGTGGCACAAAAATGAAGTGTGAAGGAAGCATTGTATGGATTGTGGTGCAAAACACGAGTGTTTATAAGGTGTAGGCTGGGTTGGTGCTTCAAACCCCTCCAATCACAGACATATCCAGCATACTGGCTACATGTCATTTTGTTTTTATGATGCGCTAAAACCTGAAAAAAGTACTGGAACGCTGCTTTGAATGTGCAGTTCGTTCAGTTCTCTTCAGTGGCAGTTCTAGAAAAGTTCATGGAATGAGGAGTGGCCAGAAACGGTGCAAAAAATAAGTTCAGAGTGATCACAATGAACTGTGTGCTCCTGAGGTGGTGAATTACAACCCACAAGGAGTGGCCATTGATTGACTTGGCCCCTCTGGACCCCCTCTAGCTCTACCCTTGGTTCTATTTCAGAAGCAAGGATACTTTGCAATTTATTTGAAATGAATGTCTCATGGTCTGAGAAATGAATTGAGAGGCACCGACATTCCCACTATCACTACTTCATGGAGCCATATGTTTTATAAAAGAGCACCTCAGTGGAGCTAAAGGCTGATCTTCTCCATGCTACGCTGCGCTGCTGCAGTAACTTATTTAACGCAGGTCCATCCAGAACTAAGGAATAAATACAATCAGAGGACTTAGATATCTGCCTAAAATATTTAGTTTTTACTCATTTTTTTTGTGGTATGCTTAGCGGTGAATCTGGGATTTTCATTATCTGTAACTACTGTATAATCATCCAAATTCGTTCGAATCAACATTCTGTATGGATCAATTAGTTTCATTCATTAAATAATGTGTTTCATTTGCCTAATAGTATGTAGTGCTCCAATTTTCATAAACCTAAAAGTAATCAGAAATAAATGCTTCCAGCAAATCACTCTGTATGTGATGAGTTTTTTCTAACACCAGTTTCAATTCACCGGAATTAAAAGCATAAGAATGACTGAATTCATTCAGATTTTTGATAAAAATGTATGTCTTTTAATAAACCTGCAGAGAGATTTTGCTCTTTGATTTTTTTTTCTTCTTAAAGATACACTAAAACCTCCCACGCAAACCATAAGCTAAATGTTCCTATAATCTTAATCCTGCCAGTTTGCAGTCCACTGCCTGGATCCTGGCAGCATTGACACCTTTTTTTTTTTTTTTTTGGTCATTTAAATACTTAACTTGAAGCTTTGCAGCTGAGCAGAGTTCCTATTCCAGTAATGCAGCTGCGCAGCTCATTCAAGCCTGAAACTTTGTACCTCGCTGAGCGTGTTTTTATCTCGATTCCCCTTCGTGAACCACTGCCGTTCGTTTGTTTGTTTGTTTTTTGTTTGAGAAAGCTTGCCAACAGCCTACATGACAATTGAGTGAAGGTGTCTGAAACACATGATGACATCCATGGGGATAGGGGGGTGCAAATGGTTCCCATCCAGACGCAGGTACCTAAGAGGGCAGAACGAAGTGAATCAGTTTTTGACTCGTTGGTTCCTGTTCACTGCGAGTTACAGTTACACATATTCATACCTTAGTCGGGGCACCAGACTGTCGTCGTTGTGGTCGGCCGACATGCTAAATGGGCAGATCTCAGTGCCGTTGATGCCTGTTCAGAAAAAAAGTACAAATTTCAGATAAAAAGGCAATTTATTGTCATAATACTTCACATTTTTAAGGACTAGTAAATGGTGCTGCTTTGTTTTGTTTCCTAACTCGTTTGCCGTCTCTCAATATGTGTACTTGTGCGTTCTCATGTGCTTGTGAAACGTCATCAACCTCAGCCCTAGTACTGTTCCAATTCACAAGAAGACGGAGAACGGACAAAGTCCCCGGATGTTGTTCTCACCCCTCCCTCTTTACCCAGCATGCATCAGAAAAGATTTGTCCGTCCTCTGGCTTGACAGCTGTCCCAGCTTCCAGGTTATCGCCCACAGAGCTCAGAGTATTAAGTTAAATGTTCTCTCTTCTGTTGCTGTTGTTCTATAAAAGTACTTTTTAAAATCATTTGAGGTGAGAACATTATACTTTTAAGCATCACTATATGATCCATTCACTGATTTAGTGCATAGTTTAAAAAAAAGTTCCAAAGCTAAGAGGGCCGCGGCAACCAGCGGACCTCCGAGGCAAACCGCACCCCGCCTGCAGCAGCCCTCTCTCTGCATAGCCGTGTGTGAAGGACCGCTGGATCTGATGGTGATTTTTGTCTTATTTGGCAAAATGTTTATTTGATTTGTGTTTATTTGACTGTGTTCATTATTATTCCCCCCCAAAAATGAAAAAGTTAAGAATTTATTATTATCTAGAGACTATTAATAACAGGAGGTGAAATGCAGCTTCAGATGAGCTGAGCATCTGATGACATCACGACTACGCTTCTCTTCCTATTGACTCGTATTTATGCTGTGTGCTCCCATTCCTGTGTCCAGACTTTGTTCTTTTCAAGAAAATACTTGTCGAGGACACGAGTCTGTACTCGCCTTCTTGTGAATTGAGAAACGACCTTCGATACGCCCCACAGAGATTTGCCCTTCATCAGTTTCTTTTATTTTTGTGGGCTGAATTCAGAAGTTCCCACAGCTGATATTGAAGATGTCAAACAGACGCTTACTCTCAATGCTGTTGTGGTTGAGATGCAGGTGCTCCAGGCGATTATTGAAGAGAGGGACCACTGTCAGCTGGTTGTGAGCCAGCTGCAGGTCCAGCAGGCTGCTCATGTTGAACACAGCTTTGGGAACCCCTTTATCACTCAGCTGGTTGTAGTTTAGCCTCACAAATGCCAGATGGGTGAAGCCTTTGAAGTAGTCCCTGAAAACACAAAGCAAAAAAAACACCCAACACGGTGGCATTCTAAGGTAAAAGCCTCCCATAGACATAAAAACAGGTTAAAAGCTTTATTTTTTTCCTGAAAATCCAGATTTGTGATGCTGTGAAACAAAACTCTGAAGGTATAAAGGTTTGAGCAGCTTTAAAAATTATGTTTTTTTTATTAATAATTCAGCATTTTGCAGCTTTTTTTTAAATAAAGAAAAGACAGAATCCTTTTATTGTGACTCTAAAAATACAAACGCAACCCTTGTCTTAATCTGTATGCTTAAACTGGTCTGAAAGAGAGGAATAAAACTGTCCAAACAGAGGAGAGAGTGTTTTGGTGTACACAGAAATGTGGGTTTTGCTAACAACAAATCCACTTGATAAATAAATATAAATGTACTCTTTATCAGACGATAATTTAGAATATTTGTATTTAAAAAAAAATCTTAAGTCTTAAAATCTGTGTTTTTTCTTTATTATCTTCTGCAGGCCAGTTAGTTCTACATCAGCCTGAACACCTAAATTCGGCCAATCATATATCAACGGTCATCTGTCAATCAAATTTTTTCAGTCATAGCATCTTGCTTCATATGTCGCAATCGCAGCTAATATACGCAACGGTTGAAATAAGAATCATTTCCTTTCCCATTGAGTTCCGTCCCAGTGTTCACAGGGATGGACGTCTGTGTCCTCAGCAGGCGTAGAGCTAACAGAACTGGCAGCGTTGCGAGGCAAGGGCTCAAACATGTACGGCTGGAAGCCTTCTACACCAAACCAAGCTTCTGCTGCCCTGGCGTCCTCATCCACAACATCTTCATCCCCGCTTTCCTCCTCTAAATAAAAAATGGATGACTCATCCACGACCTCTGACACAAAACTCTCCTCCTCTTGCATGTTTTCGCTGTCCATAGCGTTCCTTGACAGTGTCGTTTCTAAGTCACCAATTTAGTGCTACTTGGTCCCAATGGAATTTCACATTGGGAACCTACTAGCACTAAGTTGCTAACTGGTTAGCAAGATGCTTAAGAGAAACCACCCACAATCAAACTTCCTATCCAACCTTCCGCCACAAGAATCACGGCCTCTTGATAAATGACCAATCAAGCACCACTCGGGAGAATTCGGAAATGCAGCGGTTGGAACGGCCGATTCCCTACGCCTTTAAAAGTTGTTGTTTGCATCATTTATACAAGCTTACTTTCAAAAAGATTTTTCACTATGTCAGACTCACCACAGTGTTATGCAAAGAAACCCCCCCCCCCTCCTACACATTGATGACAAAAGGGATTGATATATGAATGAAAAAGGGAACTTTTAAATATATTGTTAATGTTGCCAAATTTCTTATGCATGGCCTTAAATTTAGAGTTTTGGTGGACAGATAAATGCAGAGAAGTTTCCTGCCTGTAGAGAATTTCCTCCCCTGTCGCAGGAGCATGCATCGCCCTAAACTCTCGCACATTGATGAAAAAACGGATTGAAATATGGACAAAAAGGGAACTTTTAAATATATATTCTTAATTAAATTATCTAGAATGGTGTTGATAGCAAAAGCGGCAAATGCCATCCACTGAGCAGAGAATTTATTCATCAGACACTGACTGTAGCACATCGACTAAGACGTGTCTCCATACTCCAAAATCTTATTTATTCGAATGTATCTGTCCAACAAAACAGAATTTTACGACACCCATGCATAAGAAATATGAAAACGTTCCCTTTTCGTTCATATTTTAATCCGTTTTCTCATCAGTGTGCAAGAGGGGAGGTAATTCTCGGCAAGAAGCTATTTCTCTGCATAACACCTGGTAAGTGAAAATGGGGATGAGCACATAGGACGGCCTTACATAAATGTATCAACGGAATGATTGGCAATTAGGAGGACCACTAATTTTGATGATCCATCCGGAAAAAGAAGATCCTCCACTATACCTTTAACTGGTATTAATTATTAAAGTCCTTATTTCCAGGGAGCTCAAAAATTCAACAAGAAAATGTTCTCTTCTGGTCTAAGATTTAGAGAGCTAACATTTTTAATTCATGAGTGTTTATTTCCATTATTGTTATGAGCGAAGAACGCCATTTTTGCTTGAAAAAAAAAGGCAATATAGAAGAGAAAATTTGAAAAAATACTTGATAAAATAATATTTTTTAAATGGAGCCTAGGCGGAAGTTCAACTGAGGAAACTGATTGCTCTCCTTCATCCACCTACGACACAGCCAATTTTGTGAACCACACCTCCACGAAAGCCAATCAGCATCCAAAGTTCATGTTAAAAGGCCTCCAATCCTCAACTTGTCTGCTCCTGCGTGCAGGCAGTAGTTGCGCAGTGACTTCATTCATATAACACCGTTTCAACCCACCTCCAGCCCATCCTCCACCATCATAGCTAAAACTTCATCAGAGCGTCATTCCTCACGGACTCTTACTGCAGGTCCGGCAGAAGACTGCCATGTTGAGCCTGGTTCTGCCAGAGGTTTAATGCTTGCTCATCATGGACAGGATCTCTCAACCTGTGTTATCCAAACTGGACTTCCATCTTCCAGGTCCCTGAGTGAAGCTCTAGTATCAGCTCACACAGTCCACTGGATCTCCCCATAAAGCTCAGCAGACCGTCTCTCTAACCAGCAGTCTACAGACTGACCAACTTCATCTATCTCCATTCCAAAACCAGTTTCAGGCCTGGGGGGGAAACAGCCCTGTTCTTTGCTCCTGTTCATGCATATCTATCAAAAGTCATTGCTATGTTTCCTGCCGAGGTCTGAGCGCCAAAGACTAAATAATTGTATCAATAAATTTATTCTAATTGTCTTTTTTCTTCGTGTAAGTAACTTTGATGTGTTCTTACATTTTTCCCCTTTTCATATTTTTATATTTGAAGTGTTATTTTTTACAAAACTGGTTTCAAATGTAATTTTTCCAGATTTCTCTTCTTGAAAACTGCATTCTTTTGAGTTTTACAGATCACATTCTTTTTAGTTCAAGCCCAATACTAACAATACGGAAGAGGATTAGGGCCACTGAAAAAAACAACAGATTTTTAAATATTATTTCAGTTTTTCTCAGAATTTTTACTTAAAATCTCAGAATTGTGGATCTTAATGTAGATGGGCACCCTGAAGGAAGAGATGTGGGAGCACTCAGCTACACTGATAAAGATGTGAGTTGTTTGGGAGGGCCATTAACACATTGGTGGGAAATAATGGAATTAGGCAACTTTTTACGTGCCCAAGGGGTCCCAGTTGATGCTGTTTCATTAATGGAAGAGCAGATGGTGATTAAAACAAGAGAGCTAGTTTGGTCTGTAAAACCGACATGGCTACGGCTTGATGCTAAAAAAAATGTTAGCTGTTAGAATTCAGTCAAAATTCAGAGATTGAAGTCAGACTTCTGATTTTTTCTCAAATTATACTGAAATAAAATTTAAAAATCAGTTATCTTTTTTTTTTTTTTTTTTTCAGTGGCCCTAATCCTCTTCCATACAACACTCCCTCTTGACCAATAGAAATGTATCTTTGCTTCTCGCTCTAATGAAAGTTGCCCGTAGAAGTAGAGAATATGATCTGGAATTTAAAAGAATCTAGTTTCTAAAACTCAATCTGAAGGAGAAAATTTTGAAAATATAAAATTTGAATAAATAAAATTTGGAAAAAATAAATAAATTAGAAAATAAAATCTAAAAAAAAAATTCTAAAAATGTTTTTTTGTGTTTTTAAGTTTGTTTCTGAATTGCGTCTTTTTCTTTTTACATTTCTATTTACACAAAATCTTATCTTTAACCAGAACAATGGAACAAAATCCCCTATATAGTGAATTTTGTGTGTGTATCCACTTCTGAATCGAGTGTGTCAGCAGTGTGTACTTGCTCTGGTATATCATCTATTCTGTTCTTGTCCAGGAACAGCTGATGGAGGCTGTGAGGGATGCCGGCGGGCATCTTCCTCAGAGTGTTGTGAGCCAGGTTGAGCTGCATGAGGCTCTGCAGGTCCTTCAGTGTGTTCTTTCCCAGATCGCTGTCGCTTAACTGATCAAGAACATGCCAAACACCAATCATTTACTCCGGTAATGAGAACACAGTTCACTCTTATGCCTGGATGGTGTTCCATGTGGCTCACCTGGTTGTAGTGCAGGTCGAGCAGGGTCAGGTTGTGCAGCTTGCTGAAGGCCCCTGCAGGGATCTTAGAAATGCGATTCCTGTCCAGGCGAAGTTGTTCCAGACTTGATGGGAGGCCTGATGGGACTTCATTTAGCTTGTTTCTTTGTGCATAGAAATACAGCAGACCTGGGATCTTCTTAAAGACCTGCATTAGACACAGACATGGGGCTTAACTATTGAAACCTTTTCTGAATTAAATTGGCTTCAATAAACAAAACCTTTCTAACCTGTTTGTCTATTTTCTGAATATGGTTGTTTGCCAGATTGATCCAGCGGAGCTCTGTGGCATTGTTGAAAGCCTCTGCAGTGAGTTCAGAGATGTAGTTGTTCTGTAGGTACAGGTAATGAGTTCTGAATGGGATGACAGGGACCACACGGAGGTTTCGGTTCTCACAGTATAGAGAATTTGGGTAGCTAGGATGGCACAAACACTCCCGAGGGCAGTCAGAGTAGGGGGACGGAGGGCCGAGGATGGGTGGGGGGTAATCAGTGGGCTCCTGGGGTTCAGGCTCGGCTGGAATCACACGCTTGGGAACAAAAGGTTTCTTTGTTGGAGGTGGACCTTTGGATGGCTTTCTTGGACGAACTCTCTGGGCAAAAACTGCTCCCATCAAGAGGAACAGGAGCAATGAGGAGACAACTCCAACGCCAGCCTTCATCGTCCTTCGAAACAAAAATGATAGAAAAATAAAGAGTTTTCAAGCAAAATGTCCAACAATGCATCAAGCAAGACCTAAAAAACGTCAATTTCGTTCTGCCTATTAGAGACAACTCGAAAAAGTCTTCATACTCTGACTTTTTCCTCACATTTTCAAAATAAAACAAAGGTGGCTTAGAAAGGACTTCTATAAGTTAAGCCAGGCATACACCGTGCGTCTTTTTCAGTTGTTGCATCCAGCTACTGTTCACACTGTACGACAGTGTGAGTTCTAAGATCACAACATATGTTTTCACACTGCGTGACCCAGCGCTCTGATGTGATCTACTGCTCACACTCTACGTCAAAAAACCACGTCAGAGTCAGCTCAGACAAAGACAAAGACATGGCTGAGCAAACGTGGCTACTACGGTCTGCCAATTTTACAGAAAGAACTCCATTTTCACTCATTGCATCCACACCATGCTTCTGGGTTTTCATCTGAGAGGAAGAAGAAGAATCCTTGTTTGCCCACTGAGCGATTTGCCCATGGGTTAGGGTTACATGTTTGATTTTTTTCCTCCTGATCGAGAGGTGGTCATGAGAGGCTTATGGTCCCTCGTTACACCCTGTATGCTACACAATGCACCATCAAGCTGAAAGTCGGCCCGATCAAAAAATTCTCACACGACTGGGAAGTCGGCCCGAAAAGGGCAAAAATCCTACATCTGTCTTATTAAATCATTGATAAACAGGAAGTAATTGCATGCTATGAAAGATGTGAACAGTATCCCCAACCGTAGCCCAGCCTGGTCATTGCCAAACCTATGGAAGCATAAAATCAATTGAGTCGAATTAGTCTGACAATATGAGAAAGAATTAAAGATATCAAAAAAAGAGTTTTTCATTATTTCTGTTGTACAGGATGGATATCTTGCTTCTAATCTCAGTTTCCAGCCATTAAACTGTGAGCTTAAACTCAAATATTCCATTATTCATTATTGCAGCTGATATAAAAGTATTCTATCTTATCTTTATTCTAAATGTAAAAGAGCAATGGCTGAAGCCTGAAACCTTTAGACAATTATTTTTTTATTTAGCAAAACTATTATTATTATTATTCTTTACTGGAAGGATGAGTTAGACCCTTAACTGCTCCTCTTGCACAGTCACCATGAAGTAGTGTTGCTGGTATTTATAAAAAAATCTATCCTTTTTTGCCTAAACTTTATATACAAATAGATATTAATATCCCTGGAGTTACGGGTGATCTCATGCATCAAAACTAATTTAATTGCGGGCAAGCTGTGCCAGATGAGAGAAGAACTATTTGTTTATCAGCACAGTTTGACGTGCAGAGCTCTGAGTCGGGCAGTTTTCCTTCCACTGAATGTGAACGACTTATGAAATCCTGCAGAGACTCTTAGAAGCTGCAAAGGCAGCAATGTTATGTAATGGCATATGGAGTAAATGCTGTTCAATTGCAAAAAAAAAAAAAGCATGCTTGGTTAATGAAGACAAATATTTTGTAATTGCAAAAATATGAAAAGTAATTAAAAAATTTGAAAAACAGCCAAATAAAAAATAACTAGTAACTTTGCTATTTTCTTAGATTACATTTTTTAAAATTGTTTTATATTTTCCACCATAAAAAGTAAAAAGTTATTTGTTTTCCATTTATTTTACTTTTCGAGTATTTGGTCTTTTTTCAAATATTATTTTTTAACATGCAATAATTCTAAATTCTGTGTTTCAGATTATGTTTTATGCATTGTTTTAAAATGTTTTCCACATCACATTCTCTTCACTTCAGAAGGTGGACTTTCCTCTGCAGTGAGGAGTGAAGACGGATTTCTTTTGGTCAGCATGGACATTAGAAAAAGACGTGAAAAAATATTGCAATTTGTTAAACAAAATCGAAAAAAGGAAAATTGAAAAAAAAAAAATAAAAACAAATTAAAAAAAAAGAAAAAACGAAAAAAAAAAAAAATTGAACAAAAAACAAAAGTAATCCCAAAACCAATTTCCTTAAAAGGTTTCAAAAGTTTAATTCCGAATTTTTTTTTTTTTATATCCACTGACATGTGTTTCTTTCTTGCAACAATGTTGGAACAAAATTGACCCCATAGAGATAGGTTGAGCCCCACTCCCACTCCGGGTCCCTGAGCAAGACCCACACTGCTCCCTGGGCAAAATGGAAGCCCTCTGCTCCCCAAGGGGATGGCTTGAATAAAGAGAGTTAATTTCACTGCTCTGTACTTGTGACAGTGTAATGAAAACAAGGATATATGATTTATTTCTGTGTCCTGGTTTGTCAGAACAGAAAAGACTCCCTGTTTGGCTCATATGTTAATTTACTATTTTCATTGTGATTGAATAAATTGCTGCATGTCTTTATTCAAGCCACCTGTTGCAGTAAATGATGTCACTGTCTACTTCTGTGCTGAGATTATTGGTCCCAAATGATTCTGAGCTCATTGTTTGAGTATTTCTTGTTTGCAAGAGAAACTCTGTTTTTTTCCATTGGAAGGTTAAAAAGCACATTATGAGTAAATATTTCTGTTTTATGCATTCCTTTTTTTATCAAGAGACAGTAGCACATGATATAAAGTCGGAAAATGAACTCTAAAAATAAAGTTTTGTAACTTTTTTATCCTGCTTCTTTCGTTTACATTTTGTCTTTGTTTTCTCTGATAGTTTTTGTTTTGAGTTTGGATTTAAAGCTTTTTATTCTGTTCTTGCAGAAAGAAGATCACAGTCATACCCTTCTCTTTTTTTATTATCGATATCAGCTTTGAAGCATGTCATAAATCCTTGGAAAGAAGAATTTTCTTTCTTTCGCTTGGATTCCTTTTTTGCCGGCCAGGTTTAAAGTCTTTAGTAAAACCAGCCAGGTTCTCTGTCTGCTTTATGCGACTGCTGTTTTTTCCACATGGACACATCTTCCTTCTCCCATCGGCTTTGTTCTTCAGGCATCATCAAATCACTTTGCTCAAACACTTTGTTGTTTAAGTTCTCTGACAGAGGACACTGATTGGTAAAAACATTTCTAAATCTCTTCCTCGCAATATAGGATTTTAAATAATATATTATATATGTATATATTACTTTATAAATGTCCATAGCTACATATTTGCCATCTATTCTCCAGCTGGACAGTTTTTATATCATTAAAACACTTTACATTACAGTATTTTATTGTTTATCTTTTAACTCTTTACTAATATGTTATTCTGATAGATTTTTCTAAGGTCCATATCGTGTGACCATTTTTTTCTATAATATTTTTGCTGCTTTAAACACCAGAAATTCCCCTTTGTGGGACAATAAAGGGACTTCCTATTCTATTCTATTCTATTCTATTCTATTCTATTCTATTCTATTCTATTCTATTCTATTCTATTCTATTCTTTAAAAAATGCATTTACTTTTTTGTCCTTCAGTGCAAATAATATGACATCAAAACCAGAGCAAAGTAGATTCTGATGATGGTATTGTTAAAAAATGCCCAAGATTGGGCAGCTTGTATGAAGGAATCCTAGCTGCAGATTCCTCTTAGGCACACCCAGTTTTATTCTCACAAGGAGAAAATGGAGGGAGGGGGAACTTTTTTAGATTTTTAGAAAGAAAATTCTCAGTGGTTAGAAACCAGCTCAGCCATGTCAAAAGTGCAGGAGGAACACAATTATTTACAGCATTCGGTCTTTCAAGGGATTTAGCTGTATAGAATGGGTGTGCACACATCCTCTAAACCAGCAAACAGCCCTGATAAGCAAAGGCCTGCTGTAAGCAATCACCACTAATTTTGCTGAACAAATGACTGAGGCATCAGTGGTTCCTGAATGCTTTGTAAATTGGCCTAGATTGTTAAACTTGATGTCATAGAGGGGAGGAGCCAAAGGGAGACGCCTATTCCAAAGGAGCAATGGCAGATGACTTTAGTACAGAGATGTTATGTTATGGCCTGCACGATCAGAGGGGAATACTGCTGAAGCAGAATAACAATAACCTCCTTCACAAGGAGGGTAAACTAGAAAAACAGCAAAATGTCAGCTGGCTGTTCAAAAAGAGATTTTTAATTTTTTAATTTTAAGGCAGGCGGGTAATTTGTACAGAATCAGTTCGGAAAAGCATAGTGTCCAGGCTACCATCAACGGGTCGGGTTTGGTTGCTCAGTGCCTCACAGGCTCCCTGCCCCCGTCCGCCAGGGTTCCTGGACCAGCCCAAAGCCCACACCCACATTCGAGAGCCAGGAAAAGTACGACAACGGCCGGAAAAAGAGGACACAAGGTCAAAATCCACACCAAAAATCTCGAAGGTACAAAAAGTAAGACATGGGCGCGAAAAAGCGGACATCCGCACAACCTACCATAACAACAAACCAAACAATCAACGCACAGAGAACCTAAAGATACAAGACATACCAGAAAAGCAACAAAACTTGTCATTTCATTCTAGGGCTTTTAACCAGGCTTGCATTAGGGCTCAAAGAACAGCAAATATGCCATTTTCAGCCCAATCAATGTTATACACCCCATTCAGAGACCTTAAGGACCAGCACCAAATACCCTATAGAATCAATTTATGACGCCTTTAAGGGTAGGCTTAAAACTTTCCTGTCTGATAAAGCTTATAGTTAGAGTAGGTCAGGTTATCTCTATAGTTATGCTGCTATAGGGTTAGACTTCTGGAGGACATAGGGACCCCTTTTTCACCGTTCTGCTTAATTCTGTCTCTATTCTCCCACTGTTAGTTCAATCTTTAACGTTATGCTCACTCTGCTTTTTCTCAGAGAAATATCAGCTGTGCTGCTGCCATCAACACCTTTGTTTATAGATGTTGGAGATCGCCCTGTTTTTCCACTTTAGTCCTGTTTCTCTGACTGTGACTGGCTAGATGTGCTCTCTTCATCCCCTGGAATGGGAGCTGGCTCGGAGCTCGTTTGCCTGGCTGTGTGTTTCCTGGACGGGGCCGCCTTTTACAGCTGCTTTTCTTATCTCTGCTTGTGTCTCCTTGAACCCAAGTC